GATTTTTGGATTTATTGTAGAGATGAGGTCTCACTGCCCAGGCGGGTCTTGAACCCGCGGGCTCAGGCAATCTACTCACTTCAGCCTTCCAAAGGCGCGGGATTACAGGCTGAGCCACCAAGCCCCGCCAAAGATAATTTCAAATGACTTAATACAATTAACTTTTTATTCTCATTAATTACAGCTGACTCTCAGATGAAAAAGTTGTCTGGCCGGGCTTGGTGGCTCAGCCTGTAATCCCACGCCTTTGGGAGGCAAAGTGAGTGGATTGCCTGAGCCTGCGGGTTCGAGACCCGCCCGGGCAACTTGGCGAGACCTCATCTCTACAATAAATCAAAAATCACCCGGGCGTGGTAGCGCGTGCCTGTAATTCCGACTACTCGGAAGGCTGAGGCGGAAGGATCGCCGGAGTCCAGCGGGTCGAGGCTGCGGTGGCCGGGAGCGGCCACTGCACTCCAGTCTGGGCGACAGAGTAAGACTCTCACTCAAAAAAAAGAAAAAGAAAAAGTCGTCTGGGCCCTTGCCAGACCATCGCTGCCACTGCCTTGCTAGACTCTGGTGTGGCCACGTGCTCTTTGAGCTATGGCTGTCGCCATGCTTCCTGGCTGTGGCCCCTTCTCCTACCCGGGGGAGGTGACTCTCCTCTTTCTCTCTCTCTCTCTCTCTAATTTACTTTATAAATAAACTGTATTTTCTTTTTTTGTTTTGAGTTGGAGTCTCACTCTGTCGCCCAGGCTGGCAGCCTCGACCTGCCGGGCTCCAGCGATCCTTCCGCCTCCGCCTTCCGAGTAGCCGGAACTACAGGCGCGCGCTACCACGCCCGGCTATTTTTTGACTTATTGTAGCGACGAGGTCTCGCCCAGTTGCCCAGGCGGGTCCCGAACCCACAGGCTCAGGTAATTCACTCGCCTCGGCCGCCCAAAGTGCTGGGATTAGAGGTGAGCCACCAGCCCGGCCTAAACTGTATTTTCTAATCTCCAAAAAGAAAAGGTCATTTGGTTTATATCAGGCACAAAAACTCAAAGACACATTAATGCTCCTGGAACCACTGCTTAGTCTTAATATACTGAGAGATGGATGAGTAAATGAGGCGTCCGCCTAAACCCCTGCCAGACCCCCTGGGAGCTTACCATGCAAGCACTCCTCCTGCCATCTTCTGTCTTCTCTTGTTTCACAGATCCTGAAAAGCTGCATACTTCATCTTCAGCACCAGGTTCTTGCTTGACCTTCACTTGATCAGATTTGAAACTAAGACTTGTCTTTTCAGCAGTTCTGCCTGATGACCCACAGCTATTAAAAAATAACAAGTAAAGGTCACAAATGTCTGACTGTATATTCCAAATAAAAACAATTATATGACAAGTAAGTCAGGCACGGTGGCTCACGCCTGTAATCCCAGCACTTTGGGAGGATGAGGCAAGGGGACTATGTGAGCCCATGGACTTGAGACCAGCCTGGGCTGCATGGCGAGACTTTGTTACCACAAAAAATTAAAACAAAACAAAACAAAAATTAGCCGGGCGCAATGGGGCATGCTTGTGGTTCCAGCTACTTGGAAGGCTGAGGTGGAAGGATTGCCTGAGTCCAGTAGGTTGAGGCTGTGGTGGCCGTGGGAGTGCCACCACACTCCAGCCTGGGCAACAGAGTGAGACCCCAGGTCAAAAAAAACAAAAACAAAAGAAAAGCAGTGTTCACTAAAGTGAAGATGACAATTAACACGTAAAAGACAAGGATACTTCATAATGCAGTTAAGAGGAGTCTGGCAGCCAGGATCGGAGGCTCAGCCTGTAATCCCACGCTTTGGGAGGCCGAGGTGAGTTAATTGCCTGAGCCCGTGGGTTCGAGACCCGCCTGGGCAGATTGGCGAGACCTCATCTCTACAATAAAAATCAAAAAAGTAGCCGGGCGTGGTAGCACGCACCTGTAGTTCCAGCTACTTGGAAGGCTGAGGCGGAAGGATCGCCGGAGCCCAGCAAGTCGAGGCCGGGAGTATGCCACTGCACTCCAGTCTGGGTGACAGAGTGAGACTCCAACTCAAAAAAAAAAAAGAGGAGTGTGGCATAAGACTAGCTTCAAACTCTTTTTAAAAAAATGTAGGTAAAACTTTCAGAAGACTCTAACAACACACTTTATGGTCTGAGGCACTTAGAGTAAATCATTTAAGGAGCCTAGTACACAATCATTTTCCCAGGCCAGCAGTACAGAATGCCAATGATTGTTCTTTATAAAAAAAGTTGACTCTTCTGTGCCTCCCCAAACATCTAAAGCATACAACCATAATAGTGGTTCATGAAACCTCTTTTGACTTTTGGGAACCAGAAATTGGGAGGAGAAGAAGATAAAGGTAGTAAACAACCTAAAACATCCTTATTTGATTCAATGTAATGATAGGCAAGACTAATTTTACATCTAAAACCACTGTTAAGAGAAGTGAATAACGGCTAAGACTGGGTTGCTACTGAGAATGTACTTTTTTCACTCAGTCTGTATTTTTCTTCTAAAAGCACGGATTATTTAAAGTAGAATTAAAAAGCCAAGCAAATATTTAATAAGCCCAATCTTCAAAATGCATATACATATAAAAAACAGTCACATAATAATTCAAATAAAATATTTCTTGCATTATAATAAATTACTCAAAATAGGCAAGAGTAAAAAATTCAGTATTTATTGTATTTTAGCTTACACACATGTGCACAAGCCTATTTCTTATCTCTGTCCACCAGAAAGGCCTAAAAAACAATAAACAACTCAGTAGCAATTAGTGCCCCTAGTACCCAGAAGATTATCCTCAAACACTATTTTCCCAATAACATGACCAGAATTTCTTGGAAAAATGGCTGATTCCAGTCTGAGGTAAGAAATGTACAAAGTGAATCTGAAGCACTGTTTCACAGGAAACAAGGAAGTTTTCAACAGACTACTGTGATTATACCAAAAGGACTAAGGAGCAAACTTTAAAAAGTTCTGACAGAACAAAGAAAGAATAATTTAAGCTGTCAATAAAAATAACATCTATAATGAATTAAAACATAATAAAATATGCTGAAATATATGAGTTCAAAAGGTAATAATAATAAAACTCACTGGTCACTGTTGGAGTCACTCATGGTATTAGGAATCGACTCATTACCATGAAAGCAGGTAAATAAAAATAATCCATTTAGCCTGTCTTCCTACAACCCAAGTTGATGACAGAAAGTTTCTCTTTACAGAAATATTCTAAATTAATAAAGAAGGCATAATGCAACAAACTAAAATGTCATTTTATAATCAGTAAAAAAAAAAAAAAATAGAGTTAAGCAACGATCATTAGTGAACAAACAAACAAAAACGAACAAAACCCCCCAAAAACAAAAAAAACCCGAAACAACCAAAAACCAAGCGGACATAATGTGCCCCTGGTGGAAGCATATACTACCACCATAAAGTATTTTGGCCCTCTTCCTCCACATCAAACCTGAAACTGATCAAACCTGGTGACCAAAATACCAAAGTAGACAAAAAAACAGGAGGCAGTGTACTTAAATGAGACGAATAAGGAAAACCTTTATAGGAGAAACAGTTACATTTTACAACAAATAAGTTGATACCAATACAATCAACTGGTGGCAATGTATATAAGTTTATTTGAATCTGATTCAAAGAAATCATTTACTTTTTTAAAAAGGCATTTATGGCAAGAATTGGGACTCTAAACATTAACTGAATCTCTACTGACATTAAAGAATGAATTGTTAATGTTTTTAGGTATGACAATTCTGTGGTTATACAGTTTAATAATTCTTATTGATAAGGATATCTACTAAAACAGTCACAAGTGAAATGGCATGATATCTGAGATTTGTTTAGAAATAATTTACATCAGAAAGGAATTGGTAGAAATACAGAAGAAGCAAGACTGGCCAAAACCAGCCAGATCATTGTTCAAGCTGGGTGATAAGTATATAGAGCTCACTGTAATATTCTACTTTTATTATATACAATCGAAGTTTTTCTCAATAAAAAGAAAATAGTTACTAATAACATATTACTCACCTGCCTCGACTGCCAGTACTAGAGGTACTAGGGGGTCTCACAGGTGTGTGAGAATTGGATAAACCTAAAAAAAAAAAAAGTCAAAATGAGTATAAATGCATACAAGAATATTTGGAATTCTATCTACTTGTTACAGAACTCAAGATTATTATAACCCAACTTTATAATTCTTGGAAATCAGACCTAGTTACAAAGTCAGGGATGGCATGTAACCATTAATAGACATCAACCAATTTCTCTCAGCTGCACCCAGACATCACCTCAGAATCCTCCTCAGAGGACCACTAAACTCCCAGAATAAGAGAAAGCTGTCATCTCTCCAAGTCATATAATAAGACATTTTACTGATTCTCATTAATTATTCTTTTTAGAAGTCCTGAAATAATTCTTATTAAACTTTAAAAATTATGTGATTTTTAAAAAGTGTTAATGATGCAACTTATGCAAAATCCACATTTATATTTGAATTGTTATTTCTCTAGAAATAAGTAGGTGGTCTCTTTCTGTAAGAAAGAAGTCACATTTAATTTACAACAGAAAAATATACATAATAATCACTTCTAGACTGTTAACTTGATTGGAGTTGCTTCAATCACGCATTCATCAGAGTCCCAGTTGAATCACCTGGCAATAGAGTCAATTAATACAACTGGGATTTTGGAAGAGAGCTACATACCATGGATATTTTGCTTTTCTTTGAGTAAGAGTTTCACTCTGTCTCCCAGGCTGCAGTGCAGTGGCATGCTCATGGCCACCCCAGTGCCGACCTGCTGGGCTCCGGCAATCCTTCCACCTCAGCCTTCCAAGTAGCCGGAACCACAGGCGTGTGCTACCACACCTGGCTAATTCTTGGATTTATTGTAGAGACCAGGTCTCACCATACTGCCCAGCCAGGGTGGTCTCGAACCTGCGGGTTCATGCAATCCTCTTGCCTTGGCCTCCCAAAGTGCTGGGATTACAGGCTTGGACCACCGTGCCCGGCACCATGGGTATTTTAATAGTTTCCAACAAACTTAAGTTTTTATTTAAAAATTACAATTTGAAAATTAACTTGCCTTTCCTCAGCTCTTGTTTTTTAGATATTTTTCAATTTTTCAATATTTAACTAAGTGTTTTAAAGTTGGGTTGAAACCAAAGCTCTTCAACTGACTCTATATTGTAAAATATAAGATACACAAAGTAAAGAATGCCAATTGTATATGAACAAAAACTACTGCAAAGAATAATTTAAAAAATCTGTTCTGTGATAGTTAACTTTATGTGTCCACTTTGCTAGGATATGATACCCCATCATATGGGCAAACACCAGTATAGGCATTACTGTGAAGTTATTTTTTTAGATGGGATTAACATTTAAATCAGTTAACTTTGAGTAAAGTAGATTATTGTCCATAATACAGGTGGGCCTCATATAATCAACTGACATTCTTTTAATAGAACACAAGACAGAGAGTTCTGTCCTCTTCCATGTCTCATAATCCCTGCTCCCTGGAAAAAGGAATTCTGTCTCCCAACCCTGGTCTCAAACTCTCTGGCTTGCTGACCTGCTCTACAGAATCTGCTCTACAGATTCTGGACTTGCTGGTACCAAATTACATGAGTCAAGCCCTTAAAATAAATCTCTCTCAATTTCCCTCTCTCTATATATACTTCCTACTGATTCTGTTTTTCTGGAAAACACTGACTAACACAGATACTGACAGTTTTTTTTTTTAAGTGTTAAAGAAACAAGGCAACACCCTTGTTTGTTTTACCTGATGATCCTGGAGACAGGGCAGAGGGTCCTGGGGAAGGATTCATGGTGCTTGTAGGCTGTGGGGGTAGGTGACTGCCTGAGATGTATCTACTTAGTAGATTATCTAAACTACTTGAGCCAGCATCTTCCAACTGAAGAGAAAGAAGATAAGATAAACTTGCTTTGACTAAAGCAGAGGAGACGCTATTAATTTCATTAGTATCACTTCTTGTACTCATAGTTTACTAATAAACTAAGCGGTTATCCAATACCAAACTCAGTTTAATTGATGTCTCCCTATGTTTCCCTGAGGACCTACACAGCATAAAGTTTATGTAAATAAAACTATAATACCATTCAACAAATATGCAGGTGCTCGGTGCCTCTATTTCAATGTCCATAGTCCTGCCAGAATCATTCACATAAATAGAAATGTTATCATGTCAGTATCCAACTTTAAAGCTCTTAAAAATTCGTATAGGCCATGGAAGCCTGTAGTCTAACTCAAGTCCTCTTACTACACACACACACACACACACACACACACACACACACACACAAAGGAAGAGTCAACAGGAACACTGAACCTTTTATAACTTAGAGGCAGTAGGATAAAGCCAGAGGGCCCAGCACTGCAATTTTAGTGTGGTTCTCGGCCTGGATGTCAGTTTCCTATCTATAAAACAGCCTACCCACACTGCAGAAATGTGATGATTAAATGAGAAAATATTTACTTAAGAAAGAGTAAAAAGACAGTATTTAAGTGTGAAAATTGCCTTAAATTCTACACTATTTCTTTTTCCTTTCTTTTGAGTTGGAGTCTCACTCCATCGCCCAGGCTGGAGGGCAGTGGCACACTCACGGCCACCGCAGCCTTGACCTGCTGGGCTCAGTTGATCCTTCCACCTCAGCCTTCCAAGGATCTGGAACTACAGGCATGTGCCACCACGCCTGGCTAATTTTTCTTGATTTACTGTAGAGACAAAGTCTCACCAAGTCACCCAGGCTAGTCTCGAACCCATGGGCTCAGGCAATCCTTTTACCTCAGCCTCCCAAAGGTTGGGATTATAGGCGTGAGCCACCACACCCAGCCAAATTCTATACTATTCCATATAATAAATGGCCAAATTGTTCTTGGGCAAACTGTTAGCCTTCGCGCTTACTGATCTACGCGTACCTACACTAGCCTCCTCTTATTCATTCTTTCCCATTAGAGGCCAGGAGATTTCTTATGCAAATCTACTTCTGGTTCAAGACAGAAAACTGAACATAAACATTTACCTCTTGCTCTCCTTTCCTCCTAAATGCACAATGACTTTTATGGCTATACATCAGGAAGGATGATATTAAAATAGGAACTGTGGATATAAACCACAGTAGAACTAGATTGCTAGAAAGATCAGAATGGAGCAGCTCACAACTTATACAGGTAAGGGAGGATCCTTCTAAAAAAGTAAATAGGACAATTTTCCGAAAGCCCTTAAAAATCCCATGCCAGGGACATGAGGGTCTGACGGTAAGAGTAGGCTGTGGGCTAGCTGGAGGGACAATTAAGGGACAGTAGCAGGCGTGCCACCTTGTGGCCCCAGCTGGTGGCCGAGGATGTACTTAGAAAGCTCTGGCCACAGGAGAATCCCTAGATGAACTCAGGTTAACTGCAGCATCTGTGAAGAGGATGCGCTCCTAATGAGGGCCACAGATGGAAATGGGGGCGGGGGTTCAGAACAGACATGAAAATCCTGCCTCACCAACCCCCTCCTTTCCATACTCTCCATATGAATCTATTATCTCCGGCTAGGAAGACAACCCTAAGGCTAGAGGAGTAAAAAGATCAGGAAGAGACATACAGGAAATATATATAGCAGGGCGTCCCTAATGCCTTTATAGCCCCCAACAGGGAAATGCTAACCGAAGCATTCACCTGCAGGTTTCACTAGACATGAATAAAGAGTCACCATAAATAAAGTTAGAAGACTAACTGGAAAAAAAATATTAACTAATTCAATAAACCAATATTTTTTTTTTATCATCCCTGAACAACTGCATGGCACATAAGGTATTATACAAATAATTCCTATGATTTAAAAAGAAAAACATAATCCAATAGGAAAATGAACACAGACATTTCACAGAAGACACAGACAATTCATAGAAGAAAAAAAAAAAATCAATGAACATAACCAACCACATTAATATAAGAGATGAAAATAAAATCAACAATGTCATTTTCATCTATCAGATTGGAAAAGATGAAAGAATGATTAATTTACACAGTTATGGGAAGAACATGCAGAAATGGGCATTTCAAATATATAAACTGGCCCAGTCAATACCTGTGCAGAATTTCAATGTGTAATTATTTCTGGCCCAGTAATTACATATCAACCAACTTATCTTACAGAAATACTTGTGCTTAAAATTACATGACCATAGTGCCTCAATTAAGCGTTTTAAAAAAGCATTAAAAATGACATAAAATAAACTAAACACATTTAAAGTCTACAATTTGATGTACCTTCACACAGTATATACAACTAGGCAACCAAAAATCAAGAAAAACGAACAGACCCTGTTCATCACCCCTAAGGTTTCTCCCTGGTAATCAATCCTTCTCTCAAACAACCTGTCCTCAAACAAGCATCGGTCTGCTTTGTGCCATTTTAGATTAGTTTGCTTTTCCTAAATTTTTGTATAAATTGTATTGCATAGTATATATTTTTTCATCCTTTTCTTACACTCAGCATAATTAAGATTTATCCATGTCACTATTATCAAGTTCATTCCTACTTACTGTTCAGTTAATTAATATTCCATTGTACGAATACACAAATTGTTTATCCATTTATAGTGGATGGACATTAGGGTTGTTTCCAGTTTGTCTTATTACAAAGAAAACTGCTATGAACATCCAGGTACAAATCTTCATATAGACATATATTTCCTTTTCTCTTTTGGCAAATAAACAGCTGAATGGCTGAATCTTTATGGCAGATACATGTTTAACTTTTTAAGAAATTGCCAAACTGTTTTCAAAGTAATTGTGCCATTTTGCACTCCCAACATTAGTGTGAGAAAATTCACAGTCTTCTGCATCCTCACCAGAACTTGCTATGGTTAACACTGTCTTTTTTTTTTTTTTTTGAGTCAGAGTCTCACCCGGCTAATTTTTTTATTTATTGTAGAGACAAGATCTTGCCTTGTTGCTCATGCTGGTCTCGAAACCCTGAGCTCAGGCAATCCTCTCGCCTCTGCCTACCAAAGTCATGGGATTATAGGCTTGAGCCACCGTACCCAGCAACATTCAGTCTTTTTAATGCTGGTCATGTTAATCAGTGTGATACCATGTGTGTTTCACTGTGGTTTCAATTTGCATTTCCCTGATGACTGACTATGTTAGCCTCTTTTCACAGATGTGGTTTTGTTTTTGCTTTAAAAAAAAAAAAAACTCAGCCGGGCTTGGTGGCTCAGCCTGTAATACCGCGCTTTGGGAGGCTGAGGTGAGTGGATTGCCTGAGCCTGCGGGTTCGAGACCCGCCTGGGCAACTTGGCGAGACCTCATCTCTACAATAAATTTAAAAATTATCCGGGCGTGGTAGCACGCGTCTGTAGTTCCAGCTACTTGGAAGGCTGAGGCGGAAGGATCGCCGGAGCCCAGCAGGTCGAGGCTGTGGTGGCCGGGAGCGGCCACTGCACTCCAGTCTGGGTGACAGAGTGAGACTCCAACTCAAAAAAAACAAAACAAAACAACTGTTTTTTTCCCCCTCTCAACTAGATATGTTTTTGTTCTGTTTTGCATCAGAGTCTCAGTCTCTCACCCATGCTGGAGTATAGTAGTATGATCACAGCTCACCACAGCCTATACTTCCTGGGCTCAAGTGATACTCCCATCTAAGCCTCCCAAGTAGCTGGGACTACAGGCCCATGCCACCACAACCGGTTATTTTTTTTTTTTTTGTAGAGATAAGGTTTCTCTATGTTGCCCAGGCTGGTCTCAAACTCCTGGGCTCAATCCTCCTGCCTTGGCCTCCCAAAGTGCTGGGATTACAGGTGTCAGACACTGTGTCCAGCTTAGCTTTATTTTTAACAGTAAGATATGAGAAATAAACCAAAAGTTCACCATCAAGAGGATTAAAAGAAAAAATACACCCAAAAAAGTAGAATACCATACAAATTTAAACACAAGAAAGCTCTAAGAACTAATATGAAAAAAGTCCAAAAGCAAAAATATAAAACTTGCAATAGAGGGAGAGGAGGGGAAGGGATGGAAGGACAAGAAATCATCCTCCCAGGTACAGTGGGCACAGGTGGAAGCGGTAGGGACACATGAAGCCCAGTCTGTTTGTACTCCAAAAGGCTATTGATTTTTTTTTTTTAAAGGTTTAAAAACTTGACGGATAAGAAAGACAGGGAAGAGTTAGCTGCAGCAGAATTTCACAAAAAAATCAAAGAGGCATCTGAAGTGTTTGACCATGAGTCAAATAATACAGTGGATGTAAGAGAGATTGGAACAGTTATCAGCTCATTAGGATGCTGTCCTAATGAAGGAGAGCTACATGATCTAATTGCAGAGGTAGAGGAAGAAGAACCCACTGGATGCATCTGATTTGAAAAATTTCTTCCAGTGACGACCCAAGTACTACTAGAAAGAAAATACAGCCCAATGCCAGAAGATGTTCTCCTTTGAACTTTTAAATTCAGCTAAACATGGGTTTTCTTATGAAGGAAGAATTGATCAAATATATGACTGAAGAAGGTGAGCCTTTGTCTCAAGAGGAAATGGAAGAAATGTCTGCTGCAATTGATCCAGAATCAAACTCAAGTCATTACAAGGACTATATAACAATGATGGTGATAGATGAAAATTAAGTGTTCTAAAAATAATTTCTTATTGAAAGGAGTTTTTACAATTGCTTGTTCTTGTCAATTTCACATTTTATCTTGTAATTCCTATATCTAATATTTAATACCTTATGACAACTGTTTCAAGATTTTTTTAAGGTGATCATAGCAATTTAAAACAAATTTATTTAGTATGTCTAGGCTTACGGAATGAAAAATTGCTATTATTTGAAAACTATTCTTAAACACTTTTAACATTTAAAAAAACTTGCAATACAATATTCATAGTGCTAGCTATATAAATATATAGTAAATATGGTGCAACCTCATTTTGTTACTTAAGAAAAACAGTCCAAAGTCGTTTTTGCAGCTTACGGAGGTCCTACTTATGTCACCCCATCCCCTTCTCTTTCCCCTGTTCTCACTGGTCTTTTTTGTTCTTCAAAAGTGCCCAGTTCCTTCATACCTCATGAACTTTGAAATTCTGTTCCTTTTACCTAATAAAATTTACCGCTGGCATCTCTCTGCTAACTCCTACTCAGCTTCTAGGTTTCAAAGTGCTGGGATTGCAGGTGTGAATACAAAATGGGTGTAGCCATTGTGGAAAACAGCTCGGCAGTTTCTCAAAAAGTCAAACATATAAACATAACTTTGCAATTTAACTCCTGGATATATATATACCTCAGAGCAGCTGTCCCGAACCTCTTTGGCTTCAGGGACCAGTGTGGTGAAAGACTATTTTTCCACAGACTGACTGGTGGTAAGGGGAGAGGATGTGCAGTGAAACCTCCCTGCTGGTGGCAATCTGCATTTGGAGCTGTTCCCTGTGCTCACATCGCCGCCTCAGCTCCACCTCAGATTATTTCATTGGAGTCTCGTAAGGAACATACAACCTAGATCCCTCACATTACAGTACGTGTGGGGTTTGCAAGCCTATGAGAATGTAATGTGGCTACTGACCTGACAGGAGGGAGGGCTCAGGCAGTGATGTGTGCATGGAGAGTGGCCGCAAATACAGATGAAGTTTTGTCGCTCGCCTCTTACTGTGCGATCTAGTTCCTAACAGGCCAAGGACGGCGGTGGATTTGTGACCCAGGGGTTGGGAAGCCCTGCCTTACGAGAACTGACAACCTATGTTCACACAAAAACTTGTACACTCAAGTTCACAGTAGCACTATTCCTAACAGCCAAAGAGGGAAAACCTAATGTTTGCCAGCTGATGAATCAACAAAATGTGGTATATCTAGTCAATAAAATACTATTTAGCCATATAAAAGGAACAAAGTACAGCTACAGGTTAAAGCATGGATCGACCTGGAAAACATTATGCTAAGTGAAAGAAGCCAGACACAAAAGGCAAAATATGATTCCACTCACACAAAATGTCCTGAACAGGTTCATAAAGAAAGAGATTAGTGGTTTTCAGGGGCTGGGAGAGAAAGAAATAGAATGTGACTGCTAATAAATACAATTTCTTTTGGAGTGATGAAAATATTCTGGAAATAGTAGTAATGGTTGCACAATCTTGTGAACGCACTAAAAACCACGGAATTGTATGTTTTTAGAATGGATTTCATGGTATATGAATTATGTTTCAATTAAAAAGTGGATGATACTTGAGAACCTTTGTAAGTTTCTTAAGAACTGAAACCAAAACTTGTCTTCTTATTCTCACTGCTCGAGGACTTTAGTATACAGAAAGTGTTTAGTAAGAACTGAATGATCACTTTTACACTGTGCATACCTCTGGTTGTCCAACGGCTCTCATATAACACCTTTCCAGACCTACAATCCTAAACTAACTCCCTGGTATTGTCATAGGTAGTAGAGAGAGGACTGAACTTATAATCGGGAGTCCGGGCTTAAAATTCCAACTTTACCATTTATCATGTGATTCTCAGAAAGTCACTAACCTCTCCTTACTTTCATCTATAAAATAATTATAGGGCTATTACATTAAACTGGGATAACGCCCATGAAAGTGCTTCATAAAGTATAAGCTTTTAACTTAGAAATGTTACTTTTAAATTTATACTCTAAAAAAATCCCTGTTCTATATACAGTCCAGTCCTTTCACACCAACAAAACCATACTTTCCTTAGCCAAAAAAAAAAAAATCTCTTCCAATATCAAGAAAACAGTCAGATTAAAAGAATTCACAATATGTTAGTGATTTTCAAACAATTTTGATGAGGACTATTAGTAAATGACAGTGTGCTGTGTTCAGGAGTTTTGCTAAATGAGTAGATTATAGCTGCTCTTGCAGGGGCAGGCAGGGAGATAAGTAACTATGTGAGATGACAAATGTTAATTTGTTCCTACACTAACCATTTTATTATATATATATCTTATAACATTATGTTATGTATGTATACCCTAAATTTTTAAATAAAAACTTAAAATCAATTTTGAATTTATAGAAATATCATTTAAAACTCTTACATAAACCCATGCATGTGTAAAAGTTTTAAGCTGCAGCCACAGAAAGAATCCAGGGTCCTACTGTCACAACAGTTTCACTGCTCCTTGCTTCCACAGTGATCCCTGATCCCAAGGAGCTCACACAACGCATGAGATGATTCAGTATAATCCTGGTGGATTATCTTACATTTTAAAAGAAAATGATTTTATTTCAAACAAATTGGTGAAAATTCAGAAGGGAAACAGAAGATACTTTTCTTCCGTTAAAAGAGCCAAGCGGCTTCAAAGTCCTTCTGTTCCATCCATTCCTCCTCCTCATTATCTCCTCTCTCTGAGCATGCCCCAACTCTCTGAGCTGACCTTCCAACCCCATCCTTTCCTCAGTCCAACAGAGTAGCCTTTTTAGACCTTACAGAAGAATGACAAAGATTTGATCACATTTTGGTCCCGGGTCTCCTCTCTGGCTCCAAACTCACACCAAGAGTGCATCATCTGACACAAGGTCTGTCTGTTGACAGGTGATAGAAAGGGAGGAACTAGCCTATTAGCAAAGCTAATATTAATCCATTATTATACCACTGTTTATATAGTCTCAAAATCTAATATTCATACGACATCCAAGTCCCTATAATTTTAAAATATCAAGGACACTAGTTTTAGCACAAGAATGTTTCAAGATTCAAATATCTATACTTCACTCTTTTTTTGTTTAATTGACAAACAATAATTGTGTATCTACGGGGTACAATGTTATGTTTTACACATAAATTATGTATGTATATCATAGAAAGACTTAATCAAGATAATAAATATATCTATCAACCCGACAACCCATCATTTTTTTATGGTAAGAACATTAAAAACCCATTTTAATTATTTTGAAATATATAATACACTACCATTAACTGTGTTCATTTCACTACGCAGTGCAATAGATCACTAAAACTTAATTCCAAAGGAACTTAAATCTGTACCTCAAAGAGATAAGTATCTGCACTCCCATCTTCACTTCAGCATTATTCATAATAGCAAGATATGAGAGCAATCTAAGTGTCTATCAATGAATGAATGAAGAAAAAGTGGTATATATACACAATAGAATACACTATACAGAATTTAAAAAGGAGGCAATTCTGTCATTTGCAAAAACATACACAGAACTAAAGCATATTATGCTAAGTATAATAGGCCAGACACAAAAAGACAAATACTGGATGACTTTACTTATGTGTGGAACCTAAAAACGTGATCTCACAGAAACAGAACAGAAAGGTAGTTATCAAAGGCTGGCAGAAAGAGATAGGGAAGATGCTGACCAAAGGGTACAAAGTTTCACTCAGACTGGAGAAATAAGTTTTACAGATTCATGCTTTACTCTTTAGGGTAATGTTAGCCCTAAATTTAAAAAATAAATAAATAAATACTCGAACTCCCTAATTAGCACGAGATTTCTAAATGCCTCATTCCACTGAAATACAAACCTGTATGGGCGGAATATCTGGCAGCGATGGAAGGTTTTCTGGATTGGTAACTGAGGGGATAAGTTCTATTGCTGTAACGGATGGGCTGGTGGGACCTCGGTTTGCATTTGCCATAGTTGCTGTCGTAGGGCTCGTTGGGTTGATTGTGTTGTTGTGTACCGAGACGACAGGGAAGGGTCCTGCATGCCCTGGGTTTGAGTGCTAATAAAAAGGAGACATTATCATCACTTAATCTGCGACAACATGTGATCACACACTCTATCGTTACAACAATTTTTAGTTAAGGAAGAACACTAAGTGTGGCTGTGGCTGAGAAACAAAGAAGTGGGGTGGGCCCTATCAAACTTATTTAGAAGAACAGTTCAAACTCAGCCTTTTCATTTTTCTATTCATTTTTGTGTATTACCTAGAGAAAAACAGACCTGCGAATCATTTTTCAACCTGTCAGCCTAGTGATATAACCTTACTTCAGAACTAAAAGGTGTATTCGAAAGCCTCCAAGTTTTCACACAATAAGCCAAGAAGGCTACTAATCCATTTATATTTCTCTTTGACCCTGTAGTCTTTTTTCTATTAAAAACTGTATAATGCAGCTGAATGTGGCTGAAAGAACAATGAATTTACAGAAAGGAAATATGACATTAATTCCTGACTCTAATACTGTGTGACCTTAGGCAAATCACAGTGCCTCAGTCATTTAGAAATGTGATTAATGCCAGGGGTGGTGGCTCATGCCTATAATCCCAGCACTTTGGGAAGCCGAGGTGAGAGGATTGCCTGAGCCCACAGATTCAAGACCAGCCTGAGCAACATGGTGAGACCTCAACTCTACAATAAATCAAAAGAATTAGCTGGGCATGATGGTGCGTGCCTGTAATTCCAGCTACTTGAAAGGCTGAAGTAAGCCGGGCTCGGTGGCTCAGCCTGTAATCCCGCGCGTTTGGGAGGCTGAGGTGAGTGGATTGCCTGAGCCCGCGGGTTCGAGACCCGCCTGAGCAGCGAGACCTCATCTCTACAATAAATCAAAAATCAGCTGGGCATGGTATCGCATGCCTCTAATTCCAGCTACTCGGAAGGCTGAGGTGGAAGGATTGCCGGAGCACACTCAAAAAAAAAAAAAAAAAGAAAGGTTGAACAAAGGGTCAACTAAACCCAGTAGGTCGAGGCTGCGGTGGCCATGAGCATGCCACTGCACTCCAGCCTAGGCAACAGAGTGAGACTCTGACTCAAAAAAGAAATGTGAGTAATGATACCTTACTTGTTTCATTCTGAAGGTTATCATAAGGAACATTAAAGATAATACAGATGAAATTCTTTGGGAAATAAATTACTATTCACATATAAATAAATTATTTGAAATATTTTAAAACAATCAACCAAAAAAAAGAAAAAAGAAAAAGAAAACACTGAGTGATTTCTGCCGAGGTATCCCCAAAAGTCTAAGAAAAATATTCTGAGACAGTTGGTGAGTCTGATTCTGTAGCTTCTGCACTCTGAAATGGCATACCTGGCCCCTGGCAATACTGGAACTAAGGAGCACATGGCTATGTGAAGAAACTTAAGGAAATTAATGTTTAGATCCTCAACCCTCATATGTACTCTTTTCTTAAAAAGATAAAAATGATTTACATGAGAATGTGCCATGCTCTACAGGGTCTCTTTCCCACCATTTCTTTTGCACCTGCTCTCTTCCTCCTTGACAAAAGAAGAGCACAACTCTGACTATCCCTAATTTTATTCTAGGTATACTGCATCAAGATAGAAAACAAACCCACAGAGAGAATCAAGAGCACAAGTGGAAACAATAGTGTTGGGTATCAAAAAGTGATGGCTCTAAAACCTTGGTAACAAATCTTCTAACAGGTTCTATTTAATGATCAACAAAAATAAACACTTGGGGAAGCTGTTAGTAATAAAAAAGAGTTTTTAAATAGTTTTGATAGATCATTGTTTCAGTTTATTATCTAGAAAAAGTTCAAAGAATTGATGAATATTGCCATAATAAAAATCTTTTAAATCCTAAATACATAAATTTGTGAACAAAAACTTTTCCTGAAGAAAATTACAGCAGGCTAATCTGCCTATCAAGCAAAAACATATTACACATTAAGACAAAACTCTGTTGAGGAAGTAGATGCAAAATTCAAAGCCAAGGAGAGCTTGCTATGCTATTTGGGATTCCAACAGATTAATTTCAAAGAATGATGTAAAGGTTTTATTTATTTATTCTAACTTTATAGTGTCAACATCTACCGTATGCTAGAAAGTATAACTTTTGTAAAAGAAAAATTTTTTTTGACTCGGGGTTTCACTCTGTCGCCAAGGCTTGAGTACAGTGGCATGATCATGGCTCACCATAGACGTAACCTCCTGGGCTCAAGTGATCCTTCTGCCTCAGCCTCCTGAATAGCTGGGACTATAAACATACCACCACACACAACTAATTTTTGTATTTTTTGTAGAAAAGAGGTCTCGCTATGTTGCCCAGGCTGGTCTCCAACTACTGGGCTCAAGCAATCCTCCCTCCTTGTCTTCCCAAAGTGCTGGGATCACAGATGTGAGCCATCGCACCTAGCTTCCATTGAGTGTGACCCAACACACTCAGCTTTTGCAACTATTTAAATGTAATTTACAATGAAAATCTTAAATGAAAACCTTCAAATATAAGGGAGTGCACATTTTTCGAAAGCCAAGAACCACCGCTCTAGGACAGATACTGTTACTCCAACTTCAGAATGCGGACTGACCAGAGAAGTTCACATATTACTGTGCACTCCCGCCTCCCAGAAGTTCTGATTTAGGAGTTACGGCTCTGATTCTATTCTGACAAGGTTTTCTATTTCACCCAAGGATAGGTGATTGATAAGCTTTAAAGCGTGCTGTGAGAAACATCACTGAAAGTCTGAAAAACTGTATTATTTTAAAATACAAAGGCAATGAAAAAGTGCCTTATTTTATAACAACATCTCCTGTACAAATATTATTTACTACTCAGGCAAAAATTATAAAACATGTCTATAGACTGGGCATGGTGGCTCAAGCCTGTAATCTGAGCACTTTGGGAGGCCAAGGTGAGAGGACTGCCTGGGGTTCGAGAGCAGCCTGGGCAACTTGGCGAGACCTCATCTCTACAATAAATCAAAAAATTAGCTGGGCATGGTAGCGCGCACCTGTAGTTCCAGCTACTTGGAAGGCTGAGGTGGAAGGATCGCTGGAGCCCAGCGGGTCGAGGCTTCGGGTGGCCGTGAGCATGCCACTGCACTCAGCATGGGTGACAGAGTGAGACTCCAACTCAAAAACAAAAAACAACAAAAAAGTCCCTAAATGCACGTATCTAAACAAAAAGTTTTGGTTTGCTCCTTGGGGTTTCACTCTGTCGCCCAGACTGGATAAAGTGGTATGATCATGACTCACTCCTGGGCGCAAGTAATCCTTCTTCCTCCGTCTCCTAAGAAGTTGGGACTACAGACAGATACCCTTATGCCCAGCTATTTCTTTTATTATTATTATTATTTATAGAAGCTGGAACTACAGGTGAGTATTACCACAGCCAAATAATTTTTTCATTTTTTTGTAGAGATGAGTTCTTGCTACATTGCCCAGGTTGGTTGTGAACTTTTAGGCTCAAGCAAGCCTCCTTCCTCAGCTTCCTAAAGTGCTGGGATTACAGGCATAAGTCACCACACCTGGCCAAACACACTTTTTTTTTGAGTTGGAGTCTCACTCTGTCACCCAGGCTAGAGTGCAGTGGCATGCTCACAGCCACCACAGCCTCGACCTGGTGGGCTCAGGCGATCCTTCTGCCTCAGCCTTCCAAGTAGCTGGAACCATAGGCATGCACCACCACACCTGGCCACGTTACCCAGGCTGGTCCCAAACACCTATGCTCAGGCAACCCTCTCATCTCAGTCTCCCAAAGTGTTGGGATTACAGGCGTGAGCCACCGTGCTCCGCTCACCCTTATTTTTAAGATTAAGCACATCTACATCCTAAACAAACAAAAAAACCTAGTAGTTGAATAGAGAAAAGAAAAAAGTTGAAAGAAAAATTGTTCTTATTTTTATAGAGACAAAATCTCACTATGTTGCCCAGGCTGGGTGAACTCCTGGGCTCAAGTGATCCTCCTCTTGCCTTGGTCTCCCGAAGTGCTGGGATTACAGGCATGAGTCACTGCATTCGGCTTAAAAAAAAAATTTTTTTTCTTTTTTGAGTTGGAGTCTCACGCTTCTTGGCCAGGCTGGAGTGCAGTGGCATGCTCACAGACACCGCAGCCTTGACCTGCTGAGTTTAGGTGATCCTTCTGCCTCAATCTTCCAAGTAGCTGGAACTACAGGCGCGTGCTACCATGCCCGGCTAATTTTTGATTTATTGTAGAAATGAGGTCTCACCAAGTTGTCCAGGTTGGTCTCAAACCTGCAGGCTCAGGCAATCCTCTGCCTTGGCCTCCCAAAGCGCTGGGATTACAGACTGAGGCACCAGGCCCAGACTGGGTTAAAATTTTTTTTAAAATTATATATAGTTAGCTTTATTAATTCCAAAGTCCCTTTTATATAATAGGATCAAAAAAATCACATTAAAACACATTAAAAGAGCAAGGGGCAATTTTAGGAAACTAAAGTTCTAATCCTGATTTTATCATTACCCTCATGATTGTGGGTAAATCACAAGCTTGTTAGATTTGTCTTTCACTTCTATAAATTGAGTGGCTTGGAATACATCAAGGTTTTTTTAACGCATCGTATATGGTAAATTTAAAAGGAGCAAAGTAGGTCTTAAAACTAAATATAAAATTTCTTGTGTATGTGTATTTTTTTGAGACAAGAAGACACACAGCATTAATCAACCTGTAAGGCATACCAGCAACCCGCCCCCAACAATCAATTAAGAAAAAATGGTGTCTTTAGTTTTAAAATTGTATGATTCTTACAAATGTAACTCTAGGCATACTTGTCTTTGGAGGTGTGGCTGCATCATGGAATACTGAGGGCTGCTGTGCCTGGGTATCCCTGGTATTCTGGCAGCATTCTGAGCCAGTCTCATCTGATGGGCTTGAAAAGCTCCGCAGTTCATATTGCCTCTTTGCATTGTTTGCACACTGATCAATCGAGGAGGCTACAAAAGTAGAAATTGCAATTTATATGATAATTTTTATAGAATTTACCTTTCAACTATAAAAAATAAAAATGATCCCATTGGGACGAAAGGGTATGAAGTAAAAAATGTAAATCGTTCCTTTCATCGTTAGCCCCAATCCCCAGAAAGCTGGCAATGACTACAGTGTGAGTATCACTCCTAAATTTCCCCATTCTTGCTCTCTCCCCTCCCTCCCTCTCTCCCTCCCTCCCCCTCCTTTCTTCCCTCCCCCATCCCTCTGGGTGGGTTTTTAAAGTACATCAGCATTCAGTTATCCCACTCTGGAGTGACGGCTCACGTTGGGGCGGAGGGCACAGAGAAGGGAGACACAGGGATCGGGATGATTTAAACAAACGCCCAAGGAACACATCAAAGCTTGAGCAGAAACGATCTGGTTTTGTGGTTTATAACCATATGTGGTAAACAAAAAAAATGTGGTACGAAAGAATGAGAATTTGTGCACTTCTAGAACATTAGTGAGCTAATTCTATTTCCCAAGATAAATTATTTACTTACCGCCTTTCTTTACACCTCTCCTACATTCCCATCGCAACCAGAGCAAATAAACTCTAGCCTTTGAGCTCTGCTCAAAGTTCTGCTACCAACTTTAAAATGTATAATTCACCAAATGCAGGAAAAAGTGTAGTTCAGTTCTGAGATCTTCATAATTTGTATAATGGTGTAGTCACACAACACTCACCTGTTGTTGTAACATCTGGGGGGCTGCTTGTCTAGGATGCTGCTGCGTTGTTGCTGTTGTTGTTGGTGCAGGTGCTGGTGGCTGCTGCATCCTCATCTGTTGCAACTGCTGATGCTTCTGTGCATACACTTGTTGCTGCATGTGCTGGAGTCGAAGCTGCGCTAAGTTAATCTGTCCAGGGGTTTTACTAATGTGGTTTGTCCCTGGCGGAACTTGCCCAACTACAACATTGGGAGTATAGCCAGGAGCTGGCTTACTCTCTATTACTAGATTACCTGAAGGATTCAAAAAATGAGAAGAAGTTGCATATAATCATCTAAATCATCTATTTTGCAAGTTAATCACTATCTTTTCCTTCTTCCTCTGAAAACTATCAGCACCTCAAAGCACCCAATAGTACAGCAGGGATTGAAACTGGATTTAAAGATGATGATGATCAGAAATCTAATATATTTATTCCAAAGCTGAACAAATGACTTCTGATTATTTAGAATACAGTATCTGTCCCTATTCTTTTTTTACACAGATGTACAAAAAATTAAAGAGACTGAAAGAGATATTATTAGAAGAGACCCATCTAGTCAGTCTAAATCAATTCTCCTATGACAAGACTCAAGGATACTTGAGACTGCTAGTACTGATTCCATTTGCCTTTGAATTGCCAAAATGTGCAGAGCAGAGCACTGCAAAGCTACAAAATTGTCTTCCTTGGAAATACTGAAAGCTTTAAACCATTTATATTCCCAAAAGTGATGATTTCCCTTGCTTTTTTCATGGACCCATTGTTTTCTATGGACAGAGGCAAATTTTAGGAAGATGTGATTTAAGGCAAAGGTGGGCAGGCTTTCCTGTAATGGGGGTAGAGAGTAAATATTTTAGTCTTGGCAGGCCACATAAAATCTCATGGTCTTTGGTTTATGTTTGTTTTCACAACCAGTTGAAAATGTAAAAATGAAAAAAAAAAGAAGAAAATGTAAAAACCATTCTTAGCTAGCATGCCAATAAAAACAGTTTGCTGATGCCAGAAGGAAGGCTATAGCCCAATTTGAATATGCACTTTTTTCTTTTATGCAACAATTACTTTTTTTTTTAACAGAAGGTCATCCAGCTGCAGGTTTTACAACTCCCAACTCTCAGTAGATAGCATTGTTGGGAAGTGTGTGTGTTTTAATTGAGTTGTTTTTGTCTATCTCTCTGTAATTTACACCTATAGTCTTTAGGTTCACACTGTGCAGTAATAAAAGCTAAGTCCATTTCTCTTCCCTGTGAAAAGAGCTACTCCTATCTTTCTTTTTTTATTTTTTTGAGTTGGAGTCTCACTCTGTCGCCCAGACTGGAGTGCAGTGGCCGCTCCCGGCCACCGCAGCCTCGACCTGCTGGGCTCCGGTGATCCTTCCGCCTCAGCCTTCCAAGTAGCCGGAATTACAGGCATACGCTACCACACCCGGCTGATTTTTTGATTTATTGTAGAGATGAGGTCTCGCTGCCCAGGCAGTTCTCGAACCCGCGGGCTCAGGCAATCCACTCACCTCAGCCTCCCAAAGGCACGGGATTACAGGCTGAGCCACCGAGCCCGGCTTACTCCTATCTTTCAAACATTCCTTAGGACATGACTACCAGACACATCAGTATCTTAGGGTTCTACGCTAATGCTGGTATAATTAAACTTCTAAACAGCTGAGAAATTCTTCTGGAGAATGAACAACTCGCTAAGATTTCTAATGAAACTGTTGATATCAATTTTAAGAGATGTGGGGGAGGGGAAATTAGAAATGGCACACATTAAAAAACATTATACAAAGTAGACTCTCAACATTCTTCAGTCTAACACTCTTCCAGCTGAGCTATTTCGGTCACTTCAGACTCTCAATATTCTTAAGATGTAATGACACAGCAATACAAAACCATCACTAAAGTGAGTTTCCAATGAGTAACACATTTTCCAAACAATTTACATTATAAAATTAAAAACTTTATCTAGAATTTGCTTTAGATGCTTTCTCCTTCTGATTTGGTGTTCCAAGTTATATTCATAAAATTAACTATTTCTCACCTAAATTGACTACATTCTTTGCCCAGAAGGTGGGATCACAATGGAAACGTATTGCTCCATTAGCAGCAGGGACAGGATCACATCGCGCTTTCAAAATATGACGCAACTGAAAAGTAATCTTAAACGAAAAAAGTTCATATTAGTCTTAAAATTAAATATCAACTGAGAAAACATAAGATAAATACTTTTTTTTTTTAAAGAAAGCAGGATTTACTGAGAAGACAGAAAAGTTCTCACAGTGGGAGGGCACCCGAGGGGGCTGCCCAATAAAACACATTTTTAAAAAGCTCACGCATTCCCACGGCGTCAACTCAGATGAGACAGTGTCAGTGTTTAAAGTAGCCATAAAATCAAATGCGCAGGCTTGAATTTCTGTCACTTCTGATAATAAACTACATTAAGATATTAGGTATCTTCAAAAAAGCATACACTGTATAATCCCATTTACACAAAATTCAGAAAATGACAGAAATCAGATTTGTGGCCGCTCAGAGCTAGGGGTAAAGTCCAAAAGCAAAGGCCAGGGGTAAAGGGAAGAAGGAAATGTTGGAGGCAATGGAAATTCTCTGTATCCTGATGTGGTGGTGGCTGTATCTGTGCTTTAAAAAGGTGCAGTTCACAGAATATAAATCTCAATAAAGTCCATTAAAGAAAAATAAAGATAACATGTGTCTTACCAGTCGCTTGCTATATAGCAGTGCTGTGCTACTCCCGCTTGCAATTGCCCAGTTGGTAAAGTTCATTACATGCTTCACCTGCCGTGAAAGGCCCGTGATGTCATTCTGCTGCTGTAGTAATTTCATCTGTCTTTCTTTTGTGACATTCTGAAACAGAACAAGAGCTTCACTAAAGACTTCTGTATGAAAAAAATCAACCCAAATTTCTATTGCAAATGGGCATAATACCTATATTTCCTGAAAAATATATAAATATACATATAAAATATATAATATCTATATTTCTTTTAAAAATGGGATAAGTGAACAATTCTCATGATTATTTCATCAGAGGAAAAGTCACTAATAAAAAGAGGAACTAAAACCTAGTCCTCTAAGCTAAAAAGGATATTCCACATATAGAAGTTAATGTAAATGTTTTTCTTCTTTCAGCACAAAAAGTGTCTGTTAAAAATAACAGTATAATCCAGTATACCAGAGTTTATGACACAATGAGCTAGCCTTTAGAAATAATTGTATATAATCTTAACTTGCTATACTTTAAAGGCCAAAGAAAATAGATCACCAGTGCCACCTTCTGGTGTGGCATAAGACTGAACTTAAAATTCCCTCTTAAATACCTAAGACAAAATGAAAAGATAAATTTCAGAGCTCTAAATAGAATTAGGAAATCCTTTAGTAGCACAAAAGTTCAAAAAGAACACTGAAGCGAGAACTGGTCAAACCACAAAAAACAATTTCAGAGAAATGCTGCAAAGGAAAAATAAACTGCTTTATGGGACCTAGACCCAGGAATCAGTAATATCCTAGGTACTTCCACATTCAATTCAGTACACTAAACAATGTATCTACTTCTTTCTTAGTAACTTTCTTCCCAAAACGACTCAATTTGGTTTTCTGGATGATATTTTTCCTAAGGAAACAAGCTGCTCATTTTATAACGTAAATCAATGAATAAAAGTATTCAACTGACAGCAGTTTGGTTTACTACTTCGTCCAGAAATCATTCCTTTTATATATCTTAGGAAAATCTCTTTTACAAAGTTTAGGAACATATTACCCTAGAAAATGTCTATTTTTAAAATCATCATCATGTTAGGAGTATGTGGCAGATTTATCATTATGTATTTACATACACTTCAGCCTTAAGATGCATATTTTAATTCAGAAGCCCTTGAAATGGTTTTACAAATATTATTTTAGATGTATAGCTAAAAATATACTTATAATAAATTAAAATCATAAAAAATAATTACTGCTAAGTGCTTTTCATTCACACAGTCCTTTTGAGGAAGAAACAAAACTATGAGGGTTCACTGCAACAGAAGCACAACAGGAAAGGGAGCCCCGCCCCTTGAGTTCTTTTGATCTCACAGTGGTGTTTCAGTCGAAAGATTTCAAAGACAGAAATTCAGAGACAACATTCTGCTGACAAAATTTTTTTCATTTGTACGTAACTATGTACCTGATATTCTTTAAAGGTTTTATGAAGAGCTGAAACAGAAACAAAGTCTCCTACTGGCAATTTGAGATTAATGAAAGTTAAATAGTCAGATACATGGTTTATATTACTACTATTCAATGGTGCAGAAAACATACTATCTAAGCCCACGTAAGAGCACAAAATTTCAAACATGAAACATTTTTTTAAAATGTCAACTTCTCAGAAAAATGCACATTTAAAGCTTGCTAAGAATAAATTAACTGGGTAGTGGAGTCTTTGATTAAAGATTTAGATTTCACAAACTGACTACATTCTCATTGAAAAATTTACACATATACATTAATCTCAAAATAGGTACAAAAAGGCCTAATGCCACAAAATTATAAGTTTAAGGTTTATAAATTTCAAAATGAGTAGTATTTTCAGCAAAACTATGGAAGTATTTTTAAAATAAGGTGAAACACAAAAATGACTCAAACAGAAGCCCAATGTGTATTTATTGTGGAAAAGTTAAATTGAGGCCCCATCCTAAGCGGATGAGGAGGAATGTGGTGGGCCTGTGTGTTGCCTTCAATTACATCACATTTTAGTAATATTTATTTCATTCCTAAGAGGACATCACTATCACCTAATGTATGCAGCTGAAATCAGTGTTATTAAATTGGGCTATAAAGTAACTAACTAGAAAAAAGGTCCTGTTTTCAATAGAAAATGAAAAAAACCTTATTTTTAATTTGACTTTATTTCCATACCCCCCGCCATCTAAAAGAGTTTTCAATAAACATTAAGAACAGCTGAAGAGCAAGAGAAGCAGTTTTTGTTTTATTTTGGCTTTGAACCATACCTCTAGCTGCTGTAAGAGAGATTTTCCTTTCTTATTAATTTCATTGATAAGGGTGAAAATGGCCACTTTAATTTCCTGTTCTACTCGTTTGTTAGTCTCATTTACTTCTTTTATCCTGAATAAGAGAAATGCATCATTAGGTTATCAACTTATCCTATGGCTCGGAATCATCAACTGTTACAGAAATTCATCCAACTGGGCACTTAACCAAGTAATTAAAATTAAAATTTGTCAAAACGTACAACTTATGTTTCAGCAGACCTGACCACTCAATTTGGTTCAAACAAGTTATAAACATAGATAAAAGAATGAACTTAGTATTTAGTAATATTAGATTAAGCTCATAAAGGCCAGTTTATTAAGCTGGGTTTCAATCTCCTTAAGTTACTGTGACGTAAATGTGATATACAAATGTCTGACACTAACAACCGTTGGTTAGTGTCAAATATGGCACATTGGTTCTGTTTAACCTTAATATTTTCCAAGAACAATGTGCAAAATAACTGTCACATGCAATAATTATTATCTTTTGAAAGGATAGGAGTTAAACTTAGAAGCATTTATTTCCACTTATAAATGAATCACTTCAAATGTGGGTTGATACGCTTCTTCCAAAATTTCCTCTCAAAATTGTTTTCTATTGCATGCAGTAAAGCGTGAAAGACATTTTTGATCCATTTTTAAGAATAGCTATTAGATGTTTTAGAAATAGAAGTAAGCACCCACTGTGGTCATGAAAGTTTAACTGCAAATATGGAGCGGCTGGTAGCTTGGTATTTATAAAACAGGAAGTGGAGAATTCCACCAATATAAATATGTAAAATGTCAACAACCAACCATAAGAGGCAGTCTTCAATTTTTATGCATTCTACTTCTGTGCAAACTCTAATTCATACTCAGGCTCTAAACTGCCCTGCATATGCCATACTCAAATTTAGTAACTTGAATGTACTCCAAGCAAAAATGAAGTTTTTTCCTCCTGTGCCACACATCATTGCTTATTTTGGGCACTCATTTGAAAATTTTATTGAATTCTGTCCTTAAAGTGACTTTTTTTTTAAATAAAGGCACCAGTTACAAGCAGTAAGAAATGTAAGTCTTGGGCAACCCCTTTGGGCCTCCTCACAATGTAGGAGCTTTTCTGTCCTCTCAATAAATCCTGCTTTTGAAAAAAAAAAAAAAAGAAAGAAAGAAATATTAAGTCTCAAATGTAAAATGAATGAGCCAAAAATGGAATTGTGCCAAAAGCAGAGAATAGTTACTTTAAGTCAGACTCCTATCGGACTTAAGCAAGTCTACTGCTGTATGTTCAGTTTTAAAGGAAGAAAAAATGCATATTAAAAAAGAGTGGAAATAGGCCACTGCAGAACAAGTCTGGAGGGGCAAGTTACCATTAGAGATTTTAATACTCTTTTTAAAGGTTTATGTAGATGAAAGTAATCTCCCCAACTTTTGCAATCTTGTAATAAGTAAACCTCTTGTTCTATTTTTTGTATACAGATCCTGGAACATGTGTACAAAATATGTACAAAAATACAATGTACGTAACAAGACATCTGTATAAAACTATGGGATTGCCATATGAATCAACTAACTCTACTTTCTTTGAAAGGAATATCCACTTAAAATTTCTGAGAAGACACAGCTATTTTCTCTTTTATTGGTTATTATTATGTTAATATTCAAATATAAACATATTTTGATTTTGTATTATTCATATGGTTATTTATATAAATATGTATGACATCCAAATATATAAATGTTTATATTTTGCATTATTTACAGTTATGTCTATAGTATTCCAGAGCATATATTTATTTATTCTTATATTTATATACCGATATAAATATATTAATATTTCATATAATGCTTTGTTTTATTTTTATATTTATGTTATAGTCCTATAAATATCTACAGTAATATTTCATATAATGCATCCTTACATTTTAAATTTATATCTATTCATATAAATACAGTAATAGTTCATATTATAATGCACTTATATTTATATTAACTTATCCATAAATATCTGTATTAATAGTCATTATAATGTGCACTTACATTTTCATATTATTTATATCATATATAAATATGTATGGTTATATTTCATATTATAATGTATACAGTTATCTTCTCCAAAATCAACTACAACATATCAGTAGTTTAACCTAAAACAACCTGACATTTCAAAGACAAAAAAAAGCAATGACTAGTGTGTATATATATAATCTACATTCCCTGATGGAACTTTGTCCTCTGTAGGTATCATATCTTTCTTTCTTTTTTTTTTCCAGAGTTGGTTTCTTACTCTGTTACCTAGGCTGGAGTGCAACGCAGTGGCACATTCACAGCCACCACAGCCTCAACATTACTGGGCTCAGGCGATCCTCTCCACCTCAGCTTTCCAAGTAGCTGGAACCACAGGCACACACCATCACACCGGGCTAATTTTTTGATTTACTGTAGAGATGAGGTCTCACCAAATTGCCCATGCTGGTCTTGAACCTCTGGGCTTAGGCAATCCTCTGGCCTCTGCCTCCCAAAGTGCTGGGATTACAGGCATGAGCCACCATGCCCAGCCTGATATCACTTTTTAAGAGGAAAAGTTCTACCAAGTGTAAAGCACTATTTTCATTCATTCATTCAACTATTTAATACAGGAAGAGGGTGCCAAAAAAATGTACACACGTTTTAAGGAAAAAAAAAACTATATTAAAATTGTAGTATTCAGTATATATCAATAAAAAAAGACGAGTTCAAGTCACATTTGACCTCTGCAATTATGAGAGGCATAAACATCAGCATACAGACACTTCTGATTATGGCAAACTAAAAGTAATAATAGATAACATCTCTTAAAATGTGTATACATTTTTTGGTCACCCCTGATATTTTTTGAGCATCTACCATGTGCCATTTTAATCATCATAAATTAATAGATTTTAATATTAAATTAAATAGAAGACCCAGTATTTGTGAGTCTACAGAATAAACACACACTAACCCTATTTATGACTCCAGGAATTTTCAGATGTTAACTATGCCAGCTCCAAGTGTTTGTTTCTCTGGTGTAAGAGTCCCAACTTTGTTAAACTGCTCTTTTATGAAACCTACTCTTGCTTCCCTTATTAGTAAATGAGTTTATTTAGAAATGTAGCAAAATACAGTAGTTTTTTAATAATGATGATGATAATGATAAATATAATAGCTGCAGCTAAAATCTGAGCACTTACTATGTACCACAAACCCTACCATGTATTCATTATATAATGTTACTTGTAAGATAACAGTTTTAATGCTTGTTTTACAGATGGGGAAATAACTTTGCCCAGTACTTATACTGTCTCCTCTACACTATATCTTCCACACAGTCTCTACTTTAAACTTTATAATTCAACTCTTCCCAAGTTAATCTCTTTTTCCAAGTTTAGGGCTTACACAGACTAGAGCTTTATTAATTATTTTTGTAAAATACAAAATTTTGGTCAGTTAAATTTTGCTTAATTAATAAATATAATCCCAAACTCATACCACATTCCCCTAAAAAAATAATTTTTATATATGCTTAATATAATATAGTAGAAAAACAAATTTAAATGGCCTCATTTTTCTTTAATAATCCTTAAAGTAAAAATATGTTTTTAAGACAAAACACTTACCTATTCTGCACCTGAGTAGCTGCAAAATGAACATAATTCTTCTTTTCAAGAAGCTTAGCCAGTAGATTTTCAATTGCACCTTTCTGATTTTGAAAAGCTTCTTCCAAAAACTGATACCTTAAAACCAAAATAAAAACTACATTTAAAACAAAAAATGTATGATTAAGAGTTTAAAAATAAAGAACAGCTGCATAAGTCAATCTTGAAACCTTATTTAAGTGATCAACTCTCTATACTGGCCACTTATAGCATATCTTGACGGCAACTTTTTTTCTTCTTTAAAGAGTCGGAGTCTCACTCTGTCATCCAGGCTGGAGTGCAGTGATATGCTCACGGCTACCGCCACCTCAACCTGCTGGGCTCAGGCAATCCTTCTGCCTCAGCCTTCCAAGTGGCTGAAACTACAAGCACGTGCCACCACCCCCAGTTAATGTTTTGATTGTAGAAAGGTCTCACTAAGCTTCCCAGGTTGGTCTTGAACCCCTAGGCTCAGGCAATCCTCTCCCCCCAGCCTCCCAAAGAGCCAGGCGTGAGCCACCGTGCCTGGCTCAACAGCAACTTTTAACTATCAGTCCTCCTACTACTCTCTGACTGAGAAGCCATTATAAAAGAAAAAAAATGACTCAAATAGTGTTTGGGTGCTCTTACATTAGAGTTCTGATTCAGGACTACAACTTTATAAAAATCCAAATATTAGATAAGTCATATACGTTTTACACCATAATATACAACCACATTATGGAAGATACTGTCAAAGGTGGGAAAACTAGCCACAGTTCCAACATCACAAAATCCCTGCTACTGCTGTAATATATAGTTACTTAGTCTTTTAAGTATTCATTTTAAATGTCAGTCATAATAAACACGCACTCTTACATCTGACTTTTATTCTTTATCTTGCCTTTATAATCACACTTGAAACAGTTTTTCAGTTCTAGATCCACAAACTGTCTAACTTTCCAAAGAGTTATAGCAATTTAAAATATCACCAACACCGGTTTTATTTTATCATGTCAACATGAATGGTATATGTTAAAACTTTCTAATTATAACCGTGAAAACATAGACTCAAACTATTAAAGTCTACACTTCTTTGGTTACTAGGAAGCTAGAATAATAGTTTTCTTTGCTAGTTTTATTTTCTCTTTGAAAACTGCTTATTAAGTCAACAAATTTTTAATGTATTTCATGTCCTTTTTACCTGGGTAAAAGGATCTATTATGATTTATTTGCTAATAAACAGGCAGCAATATGAAATCATCACCCTATGTTAAGAGCTGTAATTCAGGTACAATCTACAAGAACCTGGTACCTAAATCAGCCTCAATGCCAAGGAAGACGTCACAGGAAGTGAGAAAAGAATCCCCTGATAACTGCAAATGAGCATTTGAAGCATGATAAATACTTCAACATGGCCAAGGAAAATTATGCAAAGGTCAGAATATGAGACAATAACTGACAAAATCCAGAGGTAGACTGAAGGGCCAGATACACCGTGCTATTTGTACATTTTGCTCTTGAGAATAATGGAGAACCCTTGAAGAATTATAATCAAGACGCAATCACCACATTTACATTCTAAGAAAACCATCCGAACGACACGGAGAAGACCCAAAGAAAGGGGTGGCAGGAAAAGACCAGCTGGAACTCTCAACTCACGTGAGAGATCAGGACACCGTGCTGAGACAGCCAAGCCAGCTGGAATAACTGCCTTGTCAGAGAGACCAGCAGCTTTGCGAGGTCATGTGTCAGTCACGGCAAGGTCCATAGCACAACCTGAAATCTGAATGCCTGGCCCAGGTACAGGCAAGAAGAGGTCATGGAAACGAAGAGTTCAAGGTACTGGTATAATTATAACTGTTGATGTGGAAACGGAAATCTCAAAGTAAAGGCAAGAACTGAGATAAAGAACAGGACTACGAACATCTCGATGTCTGCTGTCTTCAGTGAAATGCTCAGCTAGAGGTAGACAAGAGGAAAGGCTATGAAACTGTTAACATGAAGGGAAGTTTGCTTAGTGGTGGGATTCAAGAGGTACAGGAATATTGGAGAGCAGTAGAAGTGTAGAACAATATGGGGATCTGTGTTATAAAAAATAGCTGTTAAGTAAGGCTTTTCTTTTGTGCAATGATTTAAAAAAGTGTGTTGCTGCTGTTGTAGTAAAATATATCTAAAATAAGACTTTTAAAGGGACTCCAGGCTGGGCACAGTGGCTCACACCTGTAACACCAGCACTTTGGGAGGCCAAGGCAGGGAGAGTGCTTGAGCCCAGGAGTTCAAGACTAGGCAGGGCAGCATAGCAAGACCTCATCTCTACAAAAAATTCAAAACATTAGCTGGGCGTGGTGGCATGCACCTGTAGTCCCAGCTACTCAGAAGGCTGATGTGGAAAGATCACCTGAGTCGAAGAGGTTGAGGTTGTACTGAGCCATGATCATGCCACTGCACTCCAGCAGGGATGATAGAGTAAAACCCCAATTCAAAAAAAAGAAAAGTTCTACTATTAGATAGAGAACCCAAGGACTGTTCCTTCATTAAAGAGCAACATTTGATTTATTCCATATTCCATGATTTCTCTATGTCCAATAAAAAGTTTTGTGATGTTAAATTTATACAAATAAAGTAAAGATTTATTCACATTGTGAGGAAGAATGGTCTTTTTGGAGGAGAGTTTGATTATGTCAACAAATTTAGTACAGGTCAAATAGTATCAAAAGGGATAAAATTCTAACTCATAAAATTTAACCTTGTATCAATTTCTCTTCTTATCCCCAAGTAAGTAGATATATTTCAGAATCCTGTTTCTAAAAGTATCTTGTTGCATTCATGTGAACAAGAAACAGGTAAAGACACTATTATCCTAGAAATGCTCTACCTAGATAAAATATACCCTTTCCTACTCTTATACTGGAACTGACACCTAAGCTGGATGCTAAAGAATGAGTAAGAGCCTTCGAGATAGGCAAATGGGAAGAGGGAGACAGCTTTCACTGAAAAGAAAAACGAAAATAAAATTGGCCAGGTGCAGTGGCTCATGCCTGTAATCCCAGCGCTATAGGAGAACAAGGTAGGAGAATAAGGCAGTTTGAGGTCAGAAGTTCGAGACCAGCCTTGGTAACATAGCGAGACCTCATCTCTACAAATTAATAAAAAATTAGCTGGGTGTGGTGGCGCATGCCTATAGTTCCAGCTACTTATGAGGCTGAGGCAGGAAGATTACTTGAACCCAGAAGATCGAGGCTGCTGTGAGTCATGATCGTGCCACTGTACTCCAGCCTGAGTGAGACTGAGACTCTAACTAATAGTTAAAGAAATATACAGAAGTGCAGCATTCTGAAACCACCTGTCATTCTAGGGCAAAGCCAAAAAAGTTAGAATAGGGAAGTACCGGATGCTAAAAAATCCTGTACATTTTGGTGAGGTTGGAATCAGATAATAAATAATGGCAAACTATCAAGGGATTGATTGAAAAATGACATAATTGTCCCATTAATAGGAGTACATTTCAACTGTAGGATTAGGAGAAAAACACTTGGAGCTTGAAACTCAGGAACCTGAAAACCAAAGAAGCAATATGAGCTGTTTTGATAACATACGCTATCTCTGATTCTCTTCGCTAATAAACTTACATTAACGTTTTTTAACTAATCAAAATTATAGTTGAAATACTTGGAAATGGGGAGAGAGAACCAATAAATGTTGATTAACATGCAAATACGTCAAAGTAGTTTCTTAGATCATCATCTTGTATTATAAAGTAGTAATTCTTAATGTGGGTTTTCTTTTTCTTGTTTTGTTTTTTTTTTTTGAGTCGGAGCCTCAGTCGGTCGCC